CACCGGTCTAAAATATTTGTCCCGTAAACTCATTGCGCGATACCTCATGAATTCCTAATTGTAATTCTTAATTTCTCATTAATTTTAATCTTGCACATTTTCAACCAAGTACAATATCCAAACTGCAGAATGTCTTCCTAGTCGCAATTGTCGCAATACACTAAGATATTCTATTAATCAGTGGCAAATCCAGGATTGGATTTGCCTCTGATTTAGGGGATAAAAACATATTTTTTTTTTTATCTTACTAATGCCAAAATCTTAAACCGTTAATAGTTAAAATTTACCGGAAGGGTTCCTTGCTCGTTTAGACTCCCCTTGGCTATGCTACTTATTTTAATAATAAATTAGAAATTATAAAAAATAATGAAAATGAAATTTATAAAATCTAAAAATCGATTAATTCACAGTTTTTTCTGTTAACTAATGATTAAGTCTAAAATTGTTGTTCTTAAATAGTTATTCGTGTACACGAATAATAAGAATAATGTATACATTTTCCAAATAAATATTTGGTTGAATACTTTAATGTGTAGTTCAATTTCCATCCTCTTTATTTCCCTTTTTTTTTTAAGATTTATACTCGGTAATAAATATTATCATGTAATAATATGTTCAGGATAAGTTTATAGCTGTCAAATTTGTAACTACATATTATACACAGTATATGTTGACTTTGAAAACAAATACTAAAAAAGTAAAAAAATAAATCAACATTACGTCCATTCATAGCTGTCAAACGTTATGACAATCATTTTTAGTTGACATAATTGTTTTATTCCCATTTTCAATTTCCTTTATACCTCGTGGATTTTATTCATGAAAACTAGTAAAACATATATTTATCAAAGTTTGATCGAAATAGAAAATATATTAATATGATACACGAAATTCAGTAAACTTTGATATTAATCTGAACATTTCTTGGAATTATAATAGCAGTGTCTCGCCTTTATGTATTACACTATCACCTGCCCTACCTAAAAAACGTACAGTAACTATTCATCAACTGACGCTGAACATTATTAAATATCTTTATTATAATTCAACTCTATTTTACTCACATTTCTATACAAACAAAATTAACTTTTTGGATCATTTTGCTTTATTTTAATTAATATTGCCTATTAATTAATTAATTTTTATTCGGTAATTTACCAAGATATCAAAATCACATAAATATTATACTTTTGAATTACTATATATATTCGTCGTATTAATATGATGTGACCTAAAAACATGTATACAAATGACATGGTTTAAATTACAAACGTACAGCATATTCAATTGCTGTTTATTATTTAAAATAATTGCTCCAACTACAAAATAAAAACATGCTTTTTGTTTACATTTGAATGTTTTATGAATGGATATCGTGTAAAGTAATATGTGGTTTTTTAATTACTTTGTTAACTTTCCAAACCCTCGAGATAAGTTGTATTTCAAATAATAATTTATTTACATTTTTTTAAATAGTTAATTGAAAAGTATAAAGATATTAAATGTAGATTATATCATTGTGTTATTTTAACATTATTAAGCATTTTTCTAAAATAAGTAAATAAATAAATCATTTTATTATTATGAAATTTAATTAATAGAATTATATGTTCGATCTTTGAAAGTTCAAATGAAAATATCTTATACAGACAACAGTTTAATAAAATTTAAAAAGTTCAAAATCACTTCCTAACGTCACCTTAACAACACTTAATGAATTTAAACGTCAATTTTTGAGCAGAAGATCCTATTTAATTAAATTCTTGTTAGATGTGCTCAACAAATTTTAAGACATTCTAGCATCCTAACACTTTAATATGTTAATATCTGGGGGGGTCTGTAACATTATTCAATTTTTGTCAAACAAGTTATAAAAAAAAAACTCAAATTTCGTGAAAGCTTTTTTAAGTTTAATATTTATTGTTTTAGTTACTAGAGACAAGTAATAAACTTTGTTTGGAAAATTTCTAGCTTAAAATCTAGTAAAAGTGCAAAAATTAGCAAAATAGAAAATTGCGAGTTGTATTACTCTTTTTTTTATGTACATTTAAATTTTAGTTGTACATTCTCAAATTAATGAAATTAAACACTTCAGCGTGAAATTTACTAATATACTCAAAAAAATTAAATTAAAAATTATTTAAATTCTTTAAGAAATTATGACAATAAATAACTGTAAAAAATAATTGATATGCTACAAAAAAATATGTAATAATAATACGCCATACTCAAGATTATATACAGAAAAAGCTGGTTACAAAATAGTTTGGTATCAACTCATCCGAGTATTTTTGAACTTATTTATTAATACGCCTTTTTTCTTAACTTCATTACTTTTATATCTATTTCGTCACAGTATTTCTACCCACTGCGCTTGGTGGCTTTCCTTGGTAGTTTCTTCTTTCATCATTTCAAATATAAAATTAGACAAAAGAAATGTTAACTCGACTCACAATATGAATGGTTAAATCTTTAATAAATCAACAATATCCAGGACTGTATTTAGAAATTGTACCTCTCAGGGTGCTCAGTTCTGCCTCCTCCATGACCTTTTTATTTTGCTTGACAAGAAAATTTTTTTCTATATTTTATGTAAAAAAAAAAAAAAAAAGTCATCTATTGTATAATTTATTTTGGCACAAATTGTAATATCACCCGCGGTACGCTTTGTGTTTACCAAGTAGACCCCACCCCCACATAGATGCATCCTTTTTAATCTAACCTTTGATTAACATAGTACATTAATACAATTTCACCAATATACCTTATTTTTTCTCATATTACATTACTCTTTTGATTTACTTTATTTATTTTATCAAAAATCTTAAAAAAAAAAAAAAAATACTCAAGCATAGTTTGAGGGATATTGTAATGAAATAAGTACAAAAGAATGAAGTTGAAAGTGAAGCTAAGGGAAAAGACATATTATAACTATGTTAATAAAAACTGGGATGATTTAATATCAAACTAATTTGTAGCCAACTTTTTTTATCTATATACTTTTAAGCTTGACGTATTTATGTAATATTTTTTGTAGCATTATGAAAACTATAAATAATGATATAGTAAATATTCATCGTTGATCTGATGTTCATTAACATAGTGAACATGAATGTATTAATATTGCATAACTATTACGCCGTTTTGGAATATTATTGGATCAGCTGTTTACACTGATTTAAATAATCTCAAAAAATGATGATTTCCATTAAACCCAGTAAAAACAATTTTAACAAGTGTAATGTTTTTGTTTTATAGGAATAATTAACTTAAAAACTAAGAAAAAATAAATTTAGGAATGGACCATAGTTATTTTTATATTAGTTTGTTATTATTACATATGACGAGAATGACATGAGTCTGTGAAAACACAAAATCGTAGAATAAACTTTTTGTTTGTTTTTGCACTAGAATTTGTACTTGTCATTACATAAATTTATGGATCATTTCATTTAATATATATACAGAGTGGAAAATATCTAACTGACAACTCATACAACTTATGATCTACATAACATTTTATAATTTTTCTTATTTAAACAATTTTTACAATATAGAACTATATTTAAAATATTTAATTACAAATACTTATTCAAATGTTAATAATTTTCATGGAAAAGAAATCGCGTACTGTTACCAGTAAATAATGTAATAAGTGTTTACTTCTGTACTTTACATAATACGGACTAACATTTAATACCATAAGAAAATTGTAAAAAAAAAAAATTAAAGTTTAACAAACTTCAAAATGCTGTACAAACGTATCTACTGAATTAATATAAGAGTTTTTGGTATCAACATTTTTGTTTAAAACTTATCTACAAAATGGCTATCTCCAAATCTTAAAAAAATTTTAATACAAAAATTAATTTTTAAAATATTTTTTGTAATTGCGAAAAATAACATAAAACATAATTTAAAAATAGTTCTATATTGTAAAATTGATTAAAAAAAAAAAAATTATATAATATTATGTAGATCATAAGTTATATGAGTTGTCAGTTAGATCTGTTCCACTGTATATATATATGATTTTCAACGAAAAAACGAAATCGAAATGACTCACGAAAATGAAAATACACTGTTTTCTCAGTCGAGTTTAGACTATAGGTTGTAGCTAGTCAAAACTTGATATAACCTCATTTAAAATATGTAATAAATTAGATATAAAATATTTATTTAACAAATAATTTCTTACGATGGGAAAATTGTAGAGTTAAATGACCCAACCTACATCAGTATGATAAATGATTGAATAAAATAAATGTTACATTTTTAATAATAATTTGTTTATTTGTTATTTTTCAGCATTCAAATTCTATGTGCTCGTTTGCTTTTATTTTTGTTAATTTGTTAATATTTTGAATGTTTCAGTTTCAATGCAAAGATGAAAAAGTATTTTATATATAGTAAAGTTCTGATATTTTGTATATTTTGATTAATCAATACTGAAACAAAACTCATGAAATTTACTAAATTAGCGATAAATAAAAATTGTCAGTAAATAAATTGGGGAGTTATAGATTCTCAAAGTTTAAAAATATAATTAATTTTTATATTGAACGTGAAGACTATATTATATTATTTTTACTGTCTCATAATATTAAATAGTTCTATAAAATATTATGCTCTAGAACCTTAAATTAATGTATCATAAATGATGTATATATTTATTTTTTAGATCCTAATAATTCTCTTTTGGAGATGTAAAATTTTCTTTTGCAGTTGTGGAGGTATTGCAAGTTTCATGCATTAATTGTAATTCGTGTTTATTTTTGTACAACGCTGTTGATAATTAATATTTGTAAGCTACCAATCAAATTTTCAGTGATTTCATAATTTTATTTTTTATACATGTATTCAAAAAGTCTACTTTTTAGATGAGTGTTTTAAACATTTTGATACACCAAATCCTTCTGCTATTTTCATTAAAAACACTGTAGCTCATAGTAATAATTAAATAAGTCTAGTTAAAAAAAAACTTTTCTAATGAGCAATACCTTTAATTTTGACGGCTATCAGAATGGTGAAGACGATAAGGAATTTGCCAAAGGGCAACATGTCCAATAAGTCGGTGTGATTAAGAACCTTACAAGTGGTGGCGGAAGTATTGTAGTCTAGTTTTTAGGGTAAACTGTACTGGACTGACAATAACAACACGTTCAGAGACACCGACGACACCACCAGTTGCACGCAGCGATTGATGTTGCGAGCCGATCGCCATGCACAGTAGTAGGCACGCACATAACTTCCCATAATGGTGCAGTAGCTCAACAAACCATTCCTAACGTCTTCTCTGGCAGATGGCCTGATAATGTAAAGAGAACCATGGCCGAACTTTCTCGGTGATATTCCCTTACAGTTTTGGACGTTTGCGAAAAGTAAATCTCCGGGCACCGAACACGCGACACGTTTCCGACTACCGCAGGGACGACCGTCAGGACTTTTACAGTTCCCGGTACTACTTTTGCTGCCACCGCCGCCTGCTGGTGCTGTCTATACGTGTGCACACAGAAACATAGTCACACACACAAACATACCGACGCCTGTGCTGCCGCCACGCCGCCGCCGCAGAAGGTCGGATGGATAATCGGTCGGAGGCGGCGACCGGCCGTTGGATTCGTTGCTACTGCCTCCACTACTCTACCACCTAGCACCACTCCGTGCCACAACAGCATCCACCGCTATCTCCACAACTCCTGCAGATCAATGAGGCCGCCGAAACGACACAAGCGCCACGTGTACGCGCAGAGCGTGCCCTTTGCAAGAGAATAGCCCGTTTTTTGGGAGACTACTTGAACATCTGGTGCCACCTTATATGAGGCTAATACGAGTAAACATTTATTTATTTATTTGTACGCATCACGATAGATACAAATAAAAAAATTGTAATTGTACTGTAGACATAATTTGTCCACCGAGCTGAAAGAAATTTTAAACACGCACATTTTATTACACCCCATTCGTTTATGTAATTGCACCGTATTTTTACCTGACCAAATTACTATCTATGACATTTAGCGATTGGTCCTATTTTTCTAATGAAAATCAAATGGCGTAGTGAAAAATAACCGGATACACGTTTTTTAATGTCAATCTTAATCGTTATTGAATAAGAAAATATGGTTAATTAGTGTTTATATTCCTACTCGCAGTAACTTATTCATTAAACATCAGTTTTTTTAATCGCGCATTCATGATTTTTTCAATACATAAAGATAAATCAATTTATGTCTAGATGCAAAATATAAAGCATGGCACATTTTTCTATTATAACTTCACATTGTCAGTGGCCGATTTAGGGAAAAGGGCATTAGTCCTGGGCAAAATATTTAAGGGCCATATTTTAATACTAACCATCATTCTTTAGCAAAAAAATTGGGTATTTATATAAAAATTCAAATCTGATAAATCAAAATTTTTAGTTGATAAAAAGCTTTAGCATTTTATTAATTTTTTATTTTGTCTTTTATAAATGCATAACTATTTAAAATCGTAAGGATGTGTTTTGATATAAAACAAGATTTCAACTACGCACTTACATAGTAATTAAATAGACTTTTCGTGTTATTTTATTCCATATTATCTTACGTAAAATTCTCTGATGGAAATTATTATGATAAACTTGTACAAATTTCTAAGTTTAAGATTTTATGTTCTTTGTTTATATTGTATTAACATTTAGAAAAAAGAAATTTTTAATATGTAAAGTATTCTTTCTGATAAGCGATGTCATGCCGTACAGTAACATAAATAAAAAAGGAAAAACATTACCACTCATTTATCTTTTTTCTTGCGCAATAAGTTAATCCCAAATATCATTTAAAATGTTCAGTGTCGGTGTTTCATAATTATATAGTAAAAACTGTTCACGTACAGATTTTGAACTATACTAAAGTAACGCCAGTACATTTTCTGTAACTCGGTGAAATGTTTAACGGGTAGTACATTGATAATAATTATTAATGTTCTAACCTATAATTATTAGACATAGATGTCATGGCGGCGTTTCGGATATTTAATAGTGCCAAGAATATGTAAATTCTTTATCCTATAAAAAATGGTAAATATAAATCAATTCAAATAAAATAAAAATATATTTATTTTATTATCAAAGTGCGAGTGTTACTAAAAAAAATGTTCAATATCCAAGTATTGAGGGTTTCCCCCAACACTAAAATACTGTTAATGTCGCTATTCAGTATTGTTCTATAAACGTATTTAAAGACTGGAAATTTTTTTTTGGAGATATTTAATAATTATAACAATTATTAGGAGTCCTGGGAATCATTACTCAAAATCACTTCTTACTTTCCTACCTCAATGAAACACTTATAAGTAATTTCCAAAAAAATACACGTCAAATTATAAAATAAAAATAATAAATAAATATTCAAAGAAATAATTAAAATTCCAGACAAAATACTCAATATTTCCAAGATTTCCCATACCATTTTATAAAATACCGAGATTAAATAAAACACAAAACACAATTTTTTGTTTATATCATTTTTTTATTTAATGTAAACTATTAACCATAGTAATATGTAACCATAATCAGTAATAGGTATGCAATCAGTACGTTTGGTTGGATTCCATTTAAATATAACTTAAAGAAATCATGTTCAGTTATACAGTTAAATGGAACGTTCACGTTCTAACTTAATAATAAATATAAACGAATATACATAAATATGCGATAAATTTTGATGTAGCATGCAATTTTTTTAATCTTGGAGCATTTTCTATTTTTTGCTCTTATCATACAAGTTAGTGCCAAGCTCTACAATGTTAAAAAAACACTTATTAAGTCTACATTTCTAGTTTTCTAGATAAATAAATTATTGAGAAAATAAAATTGAATGATATAAAATACAATCAATTTCTTAAAATGTATAAATACATAAAAGAACTAACAATTACAAAAAATTAAAAAACTACATTATTAATAAATAATTAATATAGGAATGATAGTTAGTGTTAATGAATACAGTAAATTAAAATAATAATTATTCATTATACAATTATGTCAATATATAAATAATTATTAAGTTGTTATTATGTAGAAAAATAAACTAAGCACAGTTCAATATCATAATTATTTTAATATCATTAATATTCTAATTACAATTAATTCTGAAATAAATATTAAAAGGCAATCATACCTCAAAAATATTTTGAAATTATCTCTCCTTATTTTATAATATTAAGTAACTATCCCAATGTATAAAAATGTGATGTTATTAAATTTTAAATTACTTTAAAATTATTTTTTAGTATTTTAATTCAAAACAGCTTAATTTTTCAGAGTTCAATGTACAAACTTAATTATATGAATTTATATAAACAGAAAAGATTGTAGTTTATTTTTAATTAAAATTGTAAATAGTGTGTGAATTTTTTCCTCTTGTTTTTTAAAGATTATTACAAATAAGATGAAGCTAAACTTTAAACTGTGCTTGTGACTAGTCTAACAATATCTTATATATGTGCTAAAATTTTAATTTTTGTTATGCATTCTCATTATAAAATTCTTATAAATATTTTTGACAGAATTGAAAATAAGCCAAAAGGAAACCGTGAATTTTGAAAATTTTATTATAAAATGGTAGAATATTATTCATTCCTATGAAATTTAGAAGCTTTATTTTTGATCCCACGGTTTATTCTACTAAAATAAATTTAAGTTTAAACTTTTATGTATCCTGGGCAGTTTTCTGCATTGAACACATAAAACTGTAAACTAAGACTAAAATTTTTGTCAGTTACTAATATAAAACATTTCAATTAAAATATATATTATTAAGTCTAAAATCAGTACCGAGTTATAACTCAATAATAACATTACTTAAAAATGTGAATGCAAACAATCAAATTTGATTGTGTCCAACAAAATAGAATAATTGATATCAAACAGTGATTTCCTTAAGTAAACAATTTTTATCATATTTTAAATGTGCAAAAAAAAAAAATATACATGTACAGTAAATTTGATGAAAATTGTTATTACATTTTGGAAGACAGCATTTAATTAATATCTAGTATGTGCTGGGTAAAAATTAACTTTAATTATGATTAGCCACTTTCTATAATAATAGACATCCAATAAAATGTTTAATGAAAAATTTAAAGAATTGTATGAATTAATTTAGCACTCCTTATTTTCAATAATTACTTGTTTATTGTAAAATGAAAAATAAGACCTTGCATGTTTTATTTTGTTTTTATAATAACAATTTACAATAGTAATAAATTTATATATTTTATTAAATTATTGGTGTCTAATCATAACTATTATGAGTAATAATTATTTCAAATAACTGAATAAATACTTTAATGGAAAAATAATGAAAACAAAATTATCATAATATATACAGAATTAAGAATTTAGTTAAAGCAGAATGCATAAATTTGCATGTTAAATATAATAATTTAGTTTATAACAAATAAGCATACACATAATATAGATTAGATTTTATTTCAATGAAAATAAATTGTAAAAATAGCTACTTAAACTATACAATATTCTATTAAGTATACAATGTTTATAATTTGTTCAATATAAATTTAAATTACTAAAAAAATATGTATATTATGTTTACAATAATTAATTTACAGTACTCTCTTTGGTATTGACAAATAAAAAAGTAAAAAGAAAATCTATAAAATGGAATAAAAAAAAACTTGAGTTTATATTTACAGAAAAATTGACTTTATTTCAATCTATTATCAATAATTTTACTTAATTAATATGGTAAAAAAGATAAATAAAAAATACATAATATATTTATTTAAATCTATCAGATAAATCAATGAGATATAAATGGCATTTATATAATTAAAAAATAATTAATATAATAATTTACAATCTTGAAAAAATTTTTTATAAGATATAATTACATATACAACTATATATATATAATGAAAAATAAAGCCCTAAAGCGTGAAAGTTAATATTCTAAATAAGAAAAGAAAAATAAGTATATATATATATATATATATATATATATATATATAAATATATATACGAATAAAGGCTTTAAAATAACTATCACATTTTTTTTTATAAATAAACATTTGCAGCAATCTAAAAAAAATTTCTAATGTTTAGTTTAAAATATAAAAACACATTATTTATGTGTTACAATAATTAGTAATTATTGTATTCAAATATCTTAGTGAGATGTCTATATTTTCTTTAGTCAGTTTAGATTTATGTAATGTTATGACTACATGACATCAATCAATATTAAATCATTATTGTATTTGTTTTTGGCATAATATTCAGAAACATATGATATACATTACAATTATTTGAAATTTATATTATTGTTTCATTAACAATCATAATCATACACCAGCTCTATAAATAAAACTACATGGAGGCTGTTGCTGTTGTGGTGGTGGTTGAGGAGTTAAACGAGCTGCTAAAGAAGGTGAAGCTGGTGGTGATGGTGATGAGCTAGGAGGGGAAGGCGATGATGAGCTGCTAGCATTTGCGTTGTTTTGACGCGGTCTAGCCCTCCCCTCCGACGCACCTCAGAGATATACTTTTTTTACACTTCTAGTTGTACCAAAACCATCCCTATAATTGCTTCCATCATTCTTAAAAAGTTAATAGTTTAAAAGATAAGTTAATAGTCTAAAACAATTAAATATTTACTTCATTTGTTTTACCTTATGTTCTCGTTGGGATCGAAGTGTTCCAAAATGATCTCTTATATTTTGTTGTTGAGAATAGTAACTTTCCTGTGTATTATTTGGTTGGAACTGAGAAAATCCCATTGGTGGCATAGGTGCATGCCTAAGTGTTGCTTTTGGTGAGCCATGTATTACTTTGTTAGGAGGTATAAGAACTGGTTCAGCATACGTAACTTCCTCTTGAGGTAAAAGCTTTGGTTCACCTAATCTTCTTCTTTAAATAACACAACATTTAAGTGTAATTATTAATTTAAATAGTTATATTAATTTTGATTTTAGATTCCAAGTCTTAAAGTTTAAATTTAAAGAATAAAAGCATAATTTAAGTACTTACGCATTCATATTATGTCTTTGCTCAAAATACTCATACTCAGTATCTGGATATGGTAGATTATCATCTTCACTTTTTGTGCATCTTCTAGCACAAGCAAAACCAGCTATAAATCCAGCTAACAATGCTGCTAAACAGGCAGCAAATACAGCAGTTAATACAGTTTCCATAGTGTAACCATCTTCTTGACGTTCATCAACTTTAACATCATCATTATTAGTTCCTATTTGAAAAAATAATAAAATAATTTAATAAAATGTAACTCTTCCATTTTTTTTTTATTTTTTATTATATATTAACTTGAGTTTTTTATTTTTTCAAATACTTTTATATTAATAGTTTATTTCAAACAAAAATTTTGCTCTAATTCAATTTAAAATTAAAATCAATCTATATTTCACAAATATGAAGACATCATAAAAAAAAAATTCAAACAATAAAAGAATGTAGGATTTTGTTAAGTAAACACAACATGTATCAAAAATTACCAAAAGAAGGCGCTTGATCATCTTGTGAAATGTTAATTGTATTAGCATCGCCAATATCTTCAAATGATTTTCCAATTATACCACTTTGAGCATTAGAAGCAAAGATATCTTTACGGTTAATACCTAATATTTTCAATATTTATAATAAAAAATTTAATTAAGTGCATAGTATTTGCAATCAAATTTGTAAATAAAAATTTACCTGGACATTCATTATGCATACCATTCTGAATATTTTGGTAAAATTCATGCCATCGGCTGGAGGTTATTTCTCGCATAGAACGACATTTATTATTCACTTTATCCCATGCACAGTACGGGTCTTGAAGTCCAATACATTCACTGAAATAAAATAATTGAATATGAATTTTTTTTTCTGATAGACCCCAAGTAATTGGAATTAAGTCAAGGAAAAATAAGAAGAAATTTGTATTTCTTTCTAATTTTTTACAATATAATAATTTATTTTTTACTGAAAAAATAGTTTTAAATTAGAAATAAAAATCACAAAGAGATGTTTATTTAATTGGAACATCAAGACAGGGTATTGAAGGGCTTAACCACCATTTTTTATGATAAACATTAAAGTAAAAAAGTGATAAAAAAAGATTTTCAAAAAATGTATTGAATAATAAATAATTAATATTTTTTAAATCTATTATCACTTGCAATAGTTTAGGACTTTTTTAAAAATATAATCATCTGTTGTAGTGACTAAACTTCATAATTGTTAAACTCAAATAGTAACAAAGGCTGAGATATGGTGTCTAGCCATATCATGTTGAATAGTTATCAACTTTATTTATATCTGAAGTTTTACATCAAATATATGTTCAATTAATATATTAAATTAATTATTTATTGAGTCATAAATAACCTGCAAGTGCTGATGAATGTGTTTTGACATCTATCTAATGGAAGAGAGACAACTTGTCTATCAGTAACAACTAGCAACCTTTTCCCTTCAAGCTGAATATTTCTTACAGCAGCAGTTGTCCCAGGACCACCAAATTCATATAGCTCTTCTATAACAACTGGGCTAACTTTTTCTGTACTATCTGCACTTGCTGCATTTATTGCTTTTAAAACTTTTCCACTATCTAGAATTATAAAATAAAAAATTGTAAATAAGAAAGATATTGTTTTACACTATCATAGCAATATTACCAGTGCCAATAAATAACACATCATATGTTTTGCCATCAATAGCCTTTACTTGAGGATCGACAGCAATAACAGTGAATCTATAACTATAATTATATGGATATTAACTGATTTGTAACTAAAGATTGTTTAATATAAATATGAATAAATCTTTAAATTTACTTGACACTTGTGCGTATTATAATGGGCTGCTGATAAAAGGATCGAACAGCATCGTCCATAAGTGAATGACTTTTAATAAAATTGAGCGTAAGATCAGGAAGAGTTCTAGAATCATTGGCACACTGGCCTGGTCTTGGATCAGGGACTTTTGAGCCAGGAACTGGGAGCCAATTATTATTAATAGTTTTTTGTTCCTTAAATTCACCTTCAAACGAATCAAGTATATCAGCTAAAGAAAATGCGCACACCGCTGATCCAGAGATGCTATTAACAGGAGTTGTGAATACACCATACATCATTTGGTATGGCTTTCCACCATAGTTACCTTGTACCAGATCAGTGGCAGATTCTGAAAAAAGATATACAATAAATCAAAAATATTATTTCTGATTACAAATAATAAATTTACATAATGTAATTTTATAATTGCAAAAAGTGAATTAAAATATTGAGGTAATCAACATAGGTATTAAATTAGTCAATTATTAAAATTTTAAAGCTAGCATATAATTTAGCAAAATTATATACATTTTTATATAAAGAAAATGTTTAGAGAGCAAATATTAAATTTAGTTCTCCCCTCAAAAAAATAAAATTGACAAACCTTTGTCTTAGTAATCAAAACAACATAGAGGACTTTATTAAATTTTTAAGTTTAAGAGTTTAAATAAAAATTTGAATTTGAATTTGAATACATTAATGTCTCCATCATCAGGGACAGTCTGAAGAAGTATTTTATAAATTATTAACTTTTCAAAAGCCATAAAAATTTTTAGATAAAAATCAGAGGTAATCTAGGAATGAAATGTATGTCAATAAAAGTAACACAGTTGTACATCAAATTAAAATCTATTTCTTCTATCTAATACTAGTTTAAAAGTTAAAACTTAGAACATTAAGTTAGAGAAATAGGAAGAGATCTTTTTAAACCACCTATTCAATCACTAAATATATGATTTCAATATTATCCTAAGTAACACCATGACTTTAAATAGATTTTAGAAAAAAATATTGAAATTCTTTCAGTTATACAGCTTGAATGAAACTATAGAAATTAAATTTTTATTTATCAAAAATTAGGACATTAAACATTTATTCTAAATAATTCAAGTCTCTTCACTTTTTCAGAGAGTAAACTTACACTTATTCAAGTATGAATATTAATAAAAAAAATAGTATATTCAATAAATTGACTTTTTTTAAACAATTATCACCATTTTGTGCTACATACTAAAATGAGAAGTAAAGACAAAAAAAAATTGTAGTCCATTTTTGTAAATTTTTCAGGAAAGCAAAAACAAAGTTTTAAATTATTATCTCTTTAACAATGAAAAAAAAAACATTTAAATATTAGAAAAATATAAATATTTTTCACTGTATGAATTTTATTACTTGGTACTACTGCTAATGAGTTATTCAATCAATCCATAAAATAAGAATCGAAAAAAGATCCCTTGTACCCTTCATATACTATTTTTTTAACTTTTGTTTATCAATAATATTAAAAAATAACTTATTTTTGGACATTTTTATAGAGTATTATTGACTAACATTTCCGAATGCTTATTGGGCCATTTAAATTCGTACAATAGTTATTACATTTTACGTAGAATAATTACAATTTTTTTCCCTAAAATAATTTTTTTAATAATAAATATAACTTTCGACATTTTTGGGGAGCTAATGAGAAAAATTACACATGTACGGATACACTACGGATGGTGGGGCAAAAGAAGGAATTGAGAAAAAGATTGGATAAAAGTGACTACAAACAAAAGTAGTACTATAATTAAAACTTTGTGTAAGCTCCTAACATTTAAGTGCTCGAATAATTTTTTCCTCAGTTTAGGCATTATATCTTTTTTGTTCCCTTAAGTATTTTATTCGTTCCATAATAGTAGCAGTAAACTTTTCCCTCGATAGCAAAAGAAAAATGAAATATAATAATTAGTTTAGAGAGAAAAAAATGAACTGTTTATCTTTCTTTTTTTTCGTAGAAAAGGGAGTAAAAAACATAATATATAGAAAACTTATTTCAACTTATTTTCCATTTTTACTCCTCTGTTTTGACTTTTTTGTGGTTACTCAAGACGTGACTTTTTATCCTAAATAAAATCACTCTAAACAATTATAACTTTTTTGCCCTTAAGTAATACATGAGTATAAAATCAAAATGCAAATATTTTTACTATCAAGCTATGCAATAATTTAAACCTTCGAAAATGGAAGCTGGTACAAAATATTTTTTCAAAAAGGAGCCTATTTGTATAGGTAGTATTTTTATTATATCAAATATTATCTTTTCGACTTGTTCTATTAAATTTGAGTAATTAATCTTAATAAAAATTATATGAAGTTTCAAAATTAAAATAGAAATAAACAAATTAGCAAGTATGCTTTATTATACTTTATTACGAAAATTTGACCCAAACTATTTTTTCTTTTACCACATTATTAAAGAAATAAATTACAAAAAATTAATTTTGAAATAAGATCACAATACTTACATATTATTTAAAATCAGTAACAAATATAAATATTCTATAAGTATTAATTTTAATCTACTTACGGATTTCATTAAAATAAAATGGAAACTCTCCAGGAACAGAACAGTTAAGACGAGACTTAAGATATGAAGTCCATCGATTTTTGAGTTGTTGCGGTCCACCGCGGTCATTCTTACATACTCTGGCAACTCGGGAAAATACGTTCTATATATACATATACACACATAAAAACAAGTATATAAAAAATAAGTACTATTCAACTAAATCATATGAATTCATATGAAAATCCCCTTCAAACTATAAAATTTATTGTTTCTAATACACACTTAACAATGCGGTTGAATTAATTAGTATAAATCTCAAGAGACTACCTTTTGCGCTCCTGTTAACAGTAACCATGTCATTAAAAACACAAAAATACTATTGGAAATGGAATAACAAAGACTTTTGGTGAAATCAAACGAATACTCAAAACGTAAATGATCAAAATTGCGCAGGTATCTTTTGTAAAAATTAATACTCGTGGGAGCTAAATTATTCACATCGACACATCAATTAAAATATTTTATTTCGGAAAATGCATATAAAAAAAAAAAATGTCTGAATTATCAAATACATGTATGCGAAATTTTTAATACACACAATATAAAAAGAAGTTTTGATTGATAGTGTTAAAAATGTTATATTTGTGTACAAATTTTCGATACAACATGTAAAATGACATTACTAGTATGCAATATTAACGTATACATTAAACTTATCATACTGACGTATGGTAATTGTTCAATTATTTCTTACAATGTGGTAAATATATTTTACTTCTGAAAAGTATAGAAAATACAATATAAAAATATCATTTTATTAATTAAAACAAAAATATTATATTTAATGTGATTTATGACATCATTATAACCGTTTACACACAGTTTTCTTTTGTATAAAGAAAATAACACGAATAAATTTATAAGATGTATAAATATAGAATGATTAATTAACGATAAGACACTAGTTTCTTTTGGAACTAATGAAAATTTTTAATTTTTGTAAAGAATTCGTTGTTTGATTCAAAAATTACTTTAAAGATCATAAGCGTAACTTTATGAACAAATTCAAGGGTAGGCTAAATTGATTTTTTTCCACTTTAATTCTTTTGTTTTGTTTTTTTTTTTTTATAAAAATACACATACATTTTCTAAAATATGGGGAATTAAACCTCCACCCCTTCCTCTGATTTTTGCCTATTCTTTAATGGATCCCCTATTTTTATGGCCTATTGAAACAGATAATTGTTATGTCCGGTATTATGAAAATGAAATTAATCATGAATTTGCCTTTTAAATCCAAATCTTTAAACAATTTTAAAACACAAACAGTAAAATCGAATAAAAAATTTGATAAGAATAAAATGTTTTTTAATCATATCATCAAACTAAAAATAGGGGTTTTCATTAAAGAAAATTAAAAATTAAGTTTTTTATCTCCACAGGTATGAACAAAAAAATTATTTATTTATAAATAATTTATCTAGATATATTAAAATTTTTTGAATCAAACAATAATTATAACCAAGAAAATAATTACATACTAAATACATAAACAGATATAAAATCTATTCAATATATTAATTTTATCATTTTCATGACAATATTTTGAAGGAAATATCACACCCCAAGTATAATGTTTCAACGCGTAACAGAATCGAGAATTGTTACAAAAAATGTATTTTGAAGAAGCGATTTTTGTAGTTAATGCACACACACCGAAACAGATTCTATATTTTGTTTCCCTAGGCGATTCAGTAGTAAATCGAGTAAACGTATAAATACGACATCCAGACGAGCACATCATCGAATTACGAACCCGCCTTGTAGCGTTTATGAGAAAATCATGTTTGTGTAAAACGTGTCTTGGACAAAAACTTGTCATTTTGCTAGCTATTTGAAGGTGGTACATTCGAGTTTCATCACAGTTTTCCATAACACACAACTAAACCTCGTGCCTCCCGCTTCATATAGTAATGGAAAAATATAATAACAAATCCCAGCGTAGTATCTGGTAGATACGGTAAACAAGAAAAAGTATTTCATCCGAAAGACAAATCGAAAACTGTTAGATGTGAAATTACTGTTTGCTTAGCGAGTCAAATTTAAGGCAATTTTTTAACGTCTAAATTGCCACCAATAGAAAACACAAAGTTTTAAGATAATCTAAATATGCAATATGACGTCTGGTAAACATCTGGCACGACAGTTAGGTGTAATTTGTTATGAAAATCGAATGACGGGGAAAAACGTCATTTCTTGGGTCACTACCAGTTCGATACATTGAGTCTAATGCGAGAGGTGGGTAAAGAGATGAAGAAAAAACTATAATAACTCACTTTTCCGCAGTTTATATATTCGACAGCAGTCTCTCGGAAAAAGAAGTAAACAAAGTCGCCATTGGCAAAGGAATGCACAAAATGTGGAGCTGAAAGAAAAACAATTTGTCAATGTCTTGCAAAATTAAGATATTGTCTTTATTTTTTTTAACACTCTAATATTATAAATACGTACATTCACGTATTTACAATAATTTTATAACAATAGGAAAATAGTAAAATATTAACATTACCATTAAGACTTAAAGAGTCGTATTGCTCAGTCTGTAGTTGTCCTTTATAAATTATTGGATCCATGCTAGAGAAATCAGCTACAGTCGCAGAAAAAAGATTACCGTCTGTAAATCATTAGAATTCATTATTAATAATTTTAGAGTAACATTATTTTAAACGAAATTTTACACGGGTATAATTAAAAATTTAATAATTGAATCACTAAAATTACTCACCAACATAAACATAAGTACTATTATGTTTTGGATCATAAGGACATACCGCTTGACCCGGGCTTTCTTTTTCTAGTGAGTAACTACCAGACTATATTTTAAATTAGACAACATTTAATTAATAAATTTATGTTATTTAATATTAATTATTAGATGATTACTCACTTCTATGGAATAATCCCGACAAAGTGGTTTGTAAGAATTTGTTCCACAGATCAATAGTTGGCCAGAAGAAGTTTTTGCCAAAACTCGAATATAATTTTGACAGTTATCCTGAAATTAAACATTTACCATTAGTATAAAATACACAAAATATAATTATAACAGTTTACTAATATTAAATAAATATTTTTTTTATTAAATCTTAGAAATATCAAATAAAAATCTTTTATTTATAATCATTTACTAACTCCAATATTAAATACTATATTGTGGAATGACTGGTAATCATCAATAGTTAAAAAGATATTTATTTCACAATTTCTATAATTTTTTTTTTATATGTGAATAAATTCTTAATAAAACTAAGCTATCGTAAGCTAAAAATGCAATTTTAATATTTAAGGCATGTGTTGAACTTTATAAAAGTCATAACAATTGTTTAAAGTATATATATAAAATATTTTTTAATATTATTAATGAATATTTTCAATTATCATGTAGTATTTATATGATTAATATTTACATTTAAAAAGTTTAAATTTGAAGGGCTTGCGACAACTACCATATGAAGTTATAATCTCTTCAACTTTGACCAACAAATTCAAAGTTAAACTTTTTTTTTATAATATCAAAAGTTTATGTATAAATGTGTATAAAATTCCAAAATATTAGTCAACGTAATTATAGTGTAAATAATGGTTTATAAAAACTTTATGTTCTTTGTCCTAAATAATTTCAAAAAGTGGATTTATCTGGTTGTTGCCGCAAGCCTTTTATTTATTAAGTATTGAATTTTTATCTATTAAACGGTAAAACTGTATAGTTTATTTTTTATATAGTACTATCCAATTACTAAACAAATTTTTCAAAGTTTTTATTTATGGCGATAAAGAGAATGAAGAAGGAAGCATTAAACTTTCAAGTCACGTTCAGTATTTTTGGGTGATTGATGGTCCTTTGTGTAGTTACAATTATTGATGACGTTTCGGTCATTTCTGACAGAGAGGTCCTAGTTTAACTTATATTTAACCCAAAACTTCTTACCTTGTATAATTTGGTTTCACCTAATACGTCTAATTTTTTATAAAATGTTTTAATGTAAACTTATACAGTAATACAAATATTATAATAGTGGTATGTAATTAAGTCTTAAAATATTCATTAAAAATATCTCAAAATAAGCCAGCTACTATAACTTTTATTTCACGCATTTTTTTCTTATGTTAATGTACGGTCATTTCGTTATGTTATTTCACTGACCGAATAATCTTTATAAGAACTTTATGGATATACTTATTTATTATGTTGTTACTATTACTATCATCATTATTATTATTACTATTAGTACTGCTAGCTAAATTTTATTTTTTATTATATACCTAATACGGACACAGCTATAAACGTTTGCATTTACAACGGTAATAGAATTCACACGCAAAATAAAACTCAAAATGACACTCAAGGGAAATAATCTGTCACAACTGGTTTATATGACTATTTATTTGTAGTTAATAAATGTCATTTTTTAATAATATAAAATATTTAAGATTTTAAAAATTTCATTATTTTAAAAAATCATCAAACTAATAAAAAAATGACTTGATTCAAAATTCAATTATATTTTTTCCTTCCAACATTCACCACATGGTATTTTTTTAGATTTAAAAATGTTTGTATATATATGCCACTTCAAAAATAAGTGTTCAGTGAAGGATATACGCTTGCTTCTAAATACATGTGCATCACTAACCATTTTGAATGTGCGACTATACACTATTAGATTTATTTCTAATAGCGTAGGTTTAATAAGATTTTGTGATACAATTGAATAATCTATTAGATAGTAAATTATATTGGTAATAAGTAATATGAGTTCATTGGTTTACAAAACATACGTTTCTTTATTTTGTTTGGAACATTGCAAAATAATAAAAGTCATGATTAATTTAAAATATTAGATCGTTGCTGTAGCAACCAAATATTTATAATTTATTTTCAAGTTTTACATTTAAAAAGTAAGTTATCTAATGACTTATTTAATTATGATTCAATAATTATTTGATATATTTTTCGTACGTCAGATTATTAATTATGTACTAAAATATCAACAATTGTCTGTAAATGCATTGAATATCAAATATTGATATTTTACGTATGCATGTATAATTTATGTATTTACGTATATAGTTACTATAAAACTGTATAAAATTAAAAAAACGATTAAATCATTAGTTAATAACTAAGTGGAACTTAGCATTAAGGTAGTATTTTCTATCCTAAATAATAAGGAGAAAAATGATTAAAGAAAAACAGCAAATGGCGTCGTATAAAAGGGAAATAATCCCTTCATTTTCTACAAAACCAGAAACATAGAACTTTCTTTCTTAACAGCTTTCTCCCTTCACACTATTTTTCGTTGCATATAAGACCACTAACGAAAACAATAAACAAAACTATCGAAATCCCAAATGCAAATTATCCTTTATATCCCTAGTAAATCTTTTTTTAGAAAAACTCAATCAACTGAAGTTCTAAAAAAAAGTTGTAAAATTCCCATTATTCATATCAGAAAAAAAAAATAATATTATAATATAATATGTTTTTTATGTTTGTTCATGAAAATTTTTATCATTCGCTAGACCAATTTTATTGATTAATACGTCAAAAAACCTGATTTTAATAAAGTTTAAACTATCAGCGATAAAAATTTGAATAATCCCCTTAATTTTAGAAAAATATATAAAAATTTGCTATTGTAAAAGACCACACTTTCAAAAAAACTTTTCTACGCTTTATAACTTAACAGTTATAACATAATTTACCACAGTAAATTAGAGATAATAGGTTTTTTTGTGATATGCTTTTTTGAAAATTAAAAAAAAAAACCCGAGTACTAGAAAGATTTAAAATGACCACCCATACATGTAAAAAATATTTTTTCAACTCAATTTTTGAAAATGTTCCGGAACTTTTAAATTATAGCAAATTAAAGCTCTTCGAGTATACTGCAATATTTAAAAAAATCCATCCCACATGTAATATTGGCTGTTAAAGTAAAAAAATCACAATTTTACAAAAAAAATTTCAATTTTTGAATATATTCCGGATTGTCTGACACATGAATACCTACATCAAATTTAAGTTTTTAATAGTATTTTATGATAAAAAAATATAATGTTTCTACGATATTTTTTCTGTGCCATAAATCGTATACATATTTATTATAAATTAAGAAATTCAAAGTTATTTTTACATAATCGATAGTTGAACGGCAGTTAAAATAGGCAAATTTGCTACATTCAAGTATTCGAGAGTTCAAATAGCAATATGAGGAATTTCTTTGATGTATTATTATTCTTATGAAACGTTACCATAACATGCAAAATACAATATTATTCATTTGCGGTGAACACACAATTTTTAAAATTACTTTTACAAAAATAATATTTTCCCAAAAACTGGTGTTGCAACATTTGTACCGTATCCTACATAATCCAGACATTTTTCGATGATATATAGATATGAGAAATACCCAGACAATTTTTTTGTCTTTATTAAGTGTTAAATGTTAACACGCTTATCAACAATTCCCTTTTTACTTGTAGTAATTTAACTAGCAATAAAATTCTATCGTAAAAGGGATTATATTAATACCATGTCCTGTCGTTAGTGTTATTTCATTTTGTTTTTACATTATTAAAGATTGTTTTGGGATATTCTATACACACACATACATAAAACAAATAAAAAGTTGGCTAGAGGACATAGTTTATTAAAACAAGCATTATGTAAATTATACCTACACACGACATAGATTAATTAAATTAATTTTTGTAATATGATGTGAAATAGTAAAATCAGTCTCAACAATCTTTTTAATGATTGTTTCCCAAAAACTTGTGATACTTCATAACCCAACCCAACCTCACATAATCCCACCTGTCTTAAAAAAATTGAATTTCCCGTGTTATTAAACTTTTAAAGTATTCTCCTCTACACTAACTATCATATACACGTCCATAGCAGTTATTCGTGATGGTGGTGTAGTTTTAGTGTGTTGATTGATCGACAGAATCCGGAGGTGACATCGTCTTTTTCAGCCGATGCTGGGTGTCATTAATGATAACACAAACCGTAAAATACCGTTTGAAAAAATCGGCTACATTTACGTATATCTCAGATGAATGGTAGAACAGTTTCTGACATGTTTTTCGTCTTTAAACTAATGTTACAGATTTTATAGCAAACACACGAGGAAAACTTCGAAAGACTGAAGAAAAAATGTAAAAAGTTTTAAGAGAGAATGGCCTATTTAAAGTTTAATGGAATTGTCATAAATCAATAAACTATGATCGCTTGGATAACAATACTGATACTATATTGAAATTGTTGAGTGTTTTTCAAACAATGAAAACGTTTTAAATACTTTAACTCATTGAAATAAATAATTAGTTTAATGGAATATATTAACTTTCAATAAAATATCTTTTAGTTAAATCACTTGCATATTAAATAAAAATAAATTTAAAGCTTTCAAATTTTGTATACATTTTGTTTTAAGCTACAATATAAACATTTTCAAAAATACAACTAAAATTTTAATTAATCTTTGACATAATTAAAAATTAATTAATTTTTGAAACAACTACAAAATAGATCATAAAGTTTATATCATATTTTACTGATATCAATAATGAAATAACGTTCTAATAAAGGTATACAATATCAATGTTTATTTCAGTAATATAATGTGATAAAATATTTATTTTAATAAGTCACAATTTATATGAAATTATCCATTCATATACAGAGTGATCGAAATCTGGTAAGACACTTATTTTCTCAGAAACTATTGAGAATTTAAAATTTTTGTAAAAAGAAAAATTATTAAGTTTATAAAACTACAATAATATGAAGTTAAATACATTTTTTTTTATCCCTTCAGGGATAAAAATGTTTATTTATAATTTTTTTTAATGGGAACCACTATTTTTGATTTGATAATATGATAGAAAAAAAATTACAAACAATTTTGTTCTTATAATTTTTTTTAACCGAACAACCATTTACGTTTTATAATTGTTTAAAAATTTTGACTTACAGAAAAAATATTGTCATTTATTACGTTTCATAATATCGGTGGCAGTGCAACCTTTATTTTTGTTAGATCCTTTAGTCTTTCAAAACCATAGACTTAGCTATTAATAATACACCGATAACCCGGTTTAAATCTATTAATATTATTACTCATTTAGTGCGTAATAAATTTTTATAGCTAATTTACCTGTCATAACTTGATGAATAAAATTTGGTTTATGCAACAGCAAATAAAAATAATGACTTCTGTATTTAATACAGTAAAATGACAATAGAAATTTGGCCTAAAATCACTTAACTTTAACAAGCTGTAATGGACGAATGGTTAATCGGATAAAAAAAATTATAAGAACAAAATTGTTTGTAATTTTTTTTTCTATCATATTATTAAGTTAAAAATAAGGGTTCCCATTTAAGAAAATTATAAATAAGGATTTTTATTCTTGAAGGGACGAAATAAATAATGGTTTGTCTACACAATATTGTACAGTTTTTTGAATTTGATATTTTTTCACTATAATAAAATTAAAAATTCTCAATATTTTATGAAAAAATGAGTGTCTTACCAGATTTTGATCATTCTGTATACAGGGTGATTTTTTTATCATAACCCACTCAATTACTTACAGAATAATAATAATTAAAAATTTTTTTTTTATTACTATCTTTAGTTACACATTATTCTTGAATTATTAACTATGTAATACTTTTTAAGTTCATCCCTTATGCCTGGTAAGGGTGTCAACTTTGTTTTTTTTAATGGTAACACATATTTTAAATTTAATAAAATGTTTGAGTTTTCAATTCAATAGTAAATGCCATTTGAATTTTTAATATAACTTTATTCGTTTATTAGATATAAACATTTAAAGTTTCAAAATTTTGAGTTAATATACATGTATAATACACATGGGATTGTAAATACAGTTAGCTAATTGGTTTTTTATGACATCGATATTAGCAGGTACAAAGCATTGTTATTATTAATGGTAGTAAGACACATTGTTATGAGTTTATAAATACACTAACTGACAATACAGAAAGTATATCTATTGATAATCATAATTAATAATAAACAATCCGCGACTGAGACAGCAATGTCATAAAAATCCAATTAGCTACCTGTATTTACAATCCCATGTATATTAACTCAAAAATTTGAAACTTTAAATGTTTATATCTAATAAGCTAATAAAGTTATAATAAAAATTCAAATGCCATTTACTATTAAATTAAAAACTTATAAGAACAAAATTGTTTGTAATTTTTTTTTCTATCATATTATTAAGTTAAAAATAAGGGTTCCCATTTAAGAAAATTATAAATATGGATTTTTATTCTTGAAGGGACGAAAAAAATAATGGTTTGTCTACACAATATTGTACAGTTTTTTGAATTTGATATTTTTTCTCTATAATTAAATTAAAAATTCTCAATATTTTCTGAGAAAATGAGTGTCTTACCAGATTTCGATCACTCTGTATATGGATGTGTATAAAATACTCAAGAAAGATATTTTTTTAATTTGATATTCAAGATTACATAAATTTAAAAATTTTAAGCAAGACATCCCTATCTGCTAATTACACCACACTGTTTACATTTTTAAGTGGTTTTGAATATCATCATTAAAGAGATAATGTTTTAGTTCTTTCCATGACATTTGAAGCTCAAAAAGCTTTTAGTTTGTTCGTCAATCAAAAAAAAAAAAAAAAAAGAAATAGGTTTTTTTTTATCAAAACGACTAGTGATCATATTAGCTTATATTATTATTCTAAAATCGTCAAAATTAAACTAAATCCCCAAAATTACTTTTAGCTCATCATTTTTAACACTAATTATCCATTAAATTTATTCAAATTAAAAATCTATAGTTACTATACCCTAGATCAAATAATATAAATATATAAATATCTATATATAAAATATTTTAATTTTGTAAAACAAACATACCTCATCTTTGCCTTTAACTAAGCACAATTTATAGTCAACATCAGTAGAATGCCATTCTAATCTCTGTAAAAAAAAATGTTTTGATTAAAATTAATATACACGTTTTTATTTATATTTATAAATTAGAAATAAACCTCTTTCAAAATTCATCGTGCGATATAAATAAGTAAAAATTGATTAATAAAAAATGATTACGATAAAATAATTTGTAAAAAAAAATTTTTTTTTTATTTTTTCTATGAATATAATATTATTTATAATGATATCTTTTTTAATAGTAATAATAATACATTACTAAATATAGGCGAAATTTGAACAACATTTTTAGTGAATCTAACTATTTCTCTCCTCCTTAAAAATATTACTATATAAATTTACAAGTAATTATTACTATTTTCGGAGAGCTACAACAAGATTAGAGTGGGCTAATCTCCTTCTAAACTCTAGTTTTGTATATATGTTGCTAAAAAGAGTATAAATTCATTTTTGTATTAACAAGTGTATTATTAAGAGTAATATATCTAATTTGGAAATAAATTATATTATTATGGTTAAAAAACTTATTAACTAAATGTAAATATTTATTATAATAAAAATAAAACTTTAAAATATCATTGTTTAAGTAACTTTGAAAGCTCAAACAACGTGTGCTGAATATAATAATACAAATACTAATAACATTTAAAGTGAAGACAATGGTGAAGTGAACTTTACAGGAATACTGTAGACCAGAGGATGTAGAAACTGATAAGCATCAAAGATGTAAGCATGCAAGTCTTCGTGTAAATTACTTGGTATAGTAAACAAGTAATCCACATTACTTCAAGGTGTAGGACATTAAATTTTGCAAAGTTTTGAGCAGACATATAGTCTGACACTGCTTTGTACCAATTAACTAAGTTATAAACCTCAAGATATATTTGGTTATTTCACTAATTTTCTAATTTTAATCTCCAATAATTAATTGTATTGATCGATTAAGATGAAAATGATTGAAACAAATTAAATAACTTTTTCGTGGCAAATAGAAATGCACAATCGGTCAATAACTATTTCCTAATAAATATTAACTTGACTAATTTCATACAATTTGAAACCAACTACATAAATAATTTATTTTAAATGTAATTGTGTTCATTTTTAACCTTTAACTTTGTCAAATAAATTATATCTAAATAATACTTCATTAATATACAACATATGCGACATTATTAAATAATAATAATAAATTTACTAAAAAAAGAAAAAACTTAATTTACTCAATAAATTTTAAATTAAATCATTAATTATAACATAAGTTTACGTCTACGTTATTTTTGAAAGGTAAACTGAGTTTAGAAATTTTGTTAGCTTATTTCAATAAATGTTAATACAATAAATTATAAGTTTTCATTGCCCATTGTATACTTCACATTTAACTTCAAAATACTATATGATATACATATATAAGGTTATTGATATTTTTTTCGACTAAGCTCCTATATGTTTTATAATATAATTTATATTATCATTTTTCGAGTATGATGTAACATGAATACAATTTTCTTAATATATTTTTTTTCATTTTCTCTATTGATCAGGTAAATATTACTAACAGCGACAGAAGTTAAAGTCTAGTGGTTCTTTATTGCGATAAACATTATGAGATTAACTGAAATAGGCGGAAAAAACTACCCGTACCTTCATTTTAATGTCATCTCCTGACGCATTTTTTATACTGCTCATAACAGAATACCGATTATTTGGATACATCAATGTCGTTTATAAGCATAAACGTACAAAATGCTATACACATATTCTACTCTCTTCGAGTCCTAGCCAGTTCTTTAGAGTAGAGGGGTTAGTAGAACTGTGCCGTATGCAAAACGAATGACATTAGAGAGTGATTTATTAGGTAGGGTGATGGTCTCTTTGATAGGTGGCGGATAAGCTGTTTGAAGAAGAAGAGGAACTCTATGCATTCTTTATCGCGTCAGAAAACGGAATAGCATCACACTACCAACAGAAACCATTAGAGAGACGGTTACGACGACATTATCATAACAAAATCGAAAAAATAGTGCGATTTACTCTTTCACAGGACAAGTATAAAAAGAACGTAGATATGATTTCTGGCACAATATTTTCTTCAGACTCGGTAATGATGGAAAAATACTAAAACTAGGCTCGCATTTAGGTTTCACAATAAACGAGTAAAAGCCTGCCAATCACGTAAAACTTACACGTACTTATTATCGCCATTTGGTACAACCCTCCGGAAAATTCACTTGTTCGTAACGCGAATATTAATAAAGGCCAGCAAAGTTTAGTGGCTTCCGGAAGAGAAAAATTTTTAGATTTTTCCGAAACTTCTTTGGCGTGAGAACTAGAAACTTCCGGAAACAGATGTTACGCATACACGCGAAGGAACGCGAGCTTGCATCCAGTACACAACTTTTCCAATGTCTCACCCATAGTAATTGCATTTAGAAATATAAAACTGATAGGTTCGAAGACTACAATCGTCCCCATACAATAAAAATATCTTATTACATAACACGTGATTATGTGGTGCCTATGTAAGATATATCTTTTTATCAGAAATATGTAATTCGATATTATTTCGGCAGATTGCAAACAAAAGCAAAGTCGAATTTTTATTTTCAAGCGATAGATTTTTTTACATTGCCAAAGAGTTAAAAACATATTAAAATAATACTTACATGACTTGTTAAAAAATAATATAATTTACCCCGGGGAATAAATGTCACTGTAGATACCTAATCTGTCAAACATAGAAATTTAGTCAGTTGTGTCTATAGGGACTCTACAGGATCGAAGAAGTGTTCGACTGTTACGTATAAAATCGAGTTTTGAATACTTGACTGGACGTCTGGCGCCTCAGGGGAGGTTACAAAAACATTAGCATTCCATTGCGTGTTGACAATTCAACAAAAACATATAACTACACATGGCGCACAATTTTCCCGACCAACACATCCATAGAGAACGTTGAATTTATTTGTGAAACATTCATAACAACTACTAACCGCTGATTCTAAGTACAATGACACAGAGAACTGGGACAACCATTAATTATATGAAATGTGTACACTATATGCTTCCATTTCACTGGCTTTCTGCCTGTATAACCTTTACTATAAATATATATATATTTACAAGTGAATGGTCAACGATGTAAACGAAATAATATAGACAAATAGCTGACACTTTGGAGTGCAATAAAATATAAAATTTAAAATAAAGATAAAATGAAAACGATTCTAATTAAAATGCATTCAAATAATTTGTTAACAAAAATTTACGACAAAATAATTTACCAAGATTTTTATGATTTGGGTAGAAATGTATAATTTGTCTCTCGTGGAAAAATATACGACTAAATTTTACTAGGACTGTTTGTTTTTGCTCAAAAATGTCGATTTGTTAAAGACACTATTACATTTTCTAATTTATTTTTACTTTTTCTGAAAAATTGCAATATAGCCATAGATAAAAATTGTTTAATTATGTTTTAAAAATTTTAAATTATTATACCATTGAGTTTGAATTCTTTATTTTGTATAAATAGTTCTATTTTTTAAGAAGTTCATTAATTTATAAGATTATTTTTGATGTTCAAACCACTTTTTTAAAAATCAATAAAATTTTAGAATTTAATATTAATATTTTTTTTTTATTATAATACAATCTCAAAGAATAAATATTCTCATTGTACTCATTAATATAATTGCACAAAGATTGTTTTTTTTTGTTCTGGTGTATCAATTTTGTGTTATTCTTTATACAATTCTGGTTGCTTATTTTTTAGGCGTAAATGATTTTAAGTGATCTAATATATAAATAAAATATATATAGAGAGAGAGTTAAATTGTGGTTATTATTAACAGTTTTAAAGTTGCCGGTAAATTCAAATAGATAAAAACTTGAGAGAAAACACAAAAATGGCCGACGATCATATGAAATCAGACGACAACAAAAACAGAACAGTGAAAACGACATTGCCCCGTCGTTAACCCTCCGCTTGTTTATAATCGCGGCATGCCAACCTTTTCGCATGACCAATTTTCTCTGTCGTTCTAAAAAAAAAGAACATAGCAGAATCGTTAGTACTTCCATTATATACAGGGTGATTCTTTTATCAGGAACCACTTAATTAATCGAAAAATGAAATAATATTAATCATTTTTTTATTGGTGTTCGTTAGTTCCATGTTTTTTTCTATTTATCAATCATGAAGTATTTTTTAAATTCATCTCTTATACCTATATTGGTATATTTATTAAATAATGATCTAATTAAAAAAATGTATGGTTCATAATAACTTTTGAGCCAATATTTCAGAAGTTATTAACATTTTTATACCTATTAGTAAACCAATAAAAAATCAATCAATATTATTTTTATTTTTCGATTATATAAGTGGATCATGATAAAAGAACCACTCTGGAGAGAGACAAATAAAAGATACAAGCACAGTAGGATAATAATAATAATTATCTACAGAGTACAATCAAATATACTTAAAAAAAATAATGTCTTCAATTTTTTCAAATTTAAACATTAAAATTAAAAAAAAATTTGAAGAAAAATAAATATGTTACATTGAGGAACTATTTTTCACTAGACATAATCATTTTTGAAGTCAGCTGTCTATCAGAATGAATACCTTTTTCTATAGGTAAAAGATTAATTTTAGAATAATGGATAAATTCGAGTTTAAATTGTAAGTTTATTACACCGGAAGTGTATCAAATATCCCAAGCGAATCGCTCTGTACAATGTTTTTGAACATTCTAACGATCGATAAAAAGCAACCGACCCCTTCTTTAAACCCGCCCTATGGTAAAGTTGTGTTCATTCAAGAATCCAATGTTGCCGAACACATCGTATGGCACCCAAACGGTTTAAAACTAATGTAATTCTTTTTTCTACAAATATTTAAAGTGTGGTATTCCTAAAACAATAATTTTTTTAGTTCGTAAAAAAAGGTTTAATAAATGTCACAATCATCCTACCGTATTATTATTTCAATTACATCAATATAGAATCGTATTTTAGCCATAATAAAATGTTTTTCTTTGGTGTCGATATAAAAATCACTAGGTCAAAAGTTACTTAATACAAAACGTAAAAATACAAATGATTGTTATTTTTGAAAATTCACTAGAAACTTTAAATTGTTATAACAAAAGTAAAAACAAAAAGTCAAAAGTTTTGACTATTTTCTGTGATGTTTTGACTTAAAAGATCACAAAATTATAAATATATTTATAATATATCCATAAAATAAGAATATTTTTTGATAAATATGAGAATGGATTATAAATCAATGCCTCTTGTCTTATAAATCTTTCCAAACGTCAATAAATTGTTCATTTTTATATAGCAAACTTTTTAATTCTATAGTTTATGTTTGTTTAACAAATGAAACAAACTATTGATATGTATAAATATAATTGTTACTTTTAGGGTCTTTCAGTATCTATATATATAAATTTGTACATTGAAAAATGATTTAATCTTACCATATGCTTACAGTGATAAAAATATTTAGATCAAGGGAGGTATAGATTTTTTTATTTTTTGTTTGTATCAAGTTATAAGTTAATAGCCTAACTCTTTTAATTTATTATTTACTTAATAAAAAAAAATTACTAATTTAATTCCATACAATGAATTTTTATAATGAAAAATGTTTAATTTAACATTTACAAATAGCGAGAGCATGTCATATAATATAAGATGTCATAAAGTTACTCTTGATATTTGTAAATAAAACTTTACGTATTCATATAATTTTTCTTTGAGTATTATTGGCTAGAGTTAAAGAAGTTCGAAAATTTACCTAATCATAATCAACAAAGGCCACCAGTAACAATTACAAATATGATGGAAAAAAGGCCAATGACTTGGTTCAAGTAAATTAAACAATAATTAGTTAAATTAAATAATTATTGAATTAAAAAGTTCAATAGAGATATATGAAAGTAGAGTTAAAAACTTCATTTGTAGACAAAATATGGGTCTATAAATTAAAAAAATAATAATAACAGACCTTATTAAAAATCACTGGAAATTAATTCATTAATCTATGTTCAATATTTTTTAAGTTATACGCATTACTACTTTACAGGCTTCTTTATAAATAAGGAAAATACCATCTTGAAATTCTAAATATACTGTTATTACATTTAAAGTCATAGGAACAATATACATTACAGTTTGTAATTCATTCCACCAAAAGCAATCTAAGAAACTATGTTAAATCAGATAGCACGCGACCAAAGTAACCATTATACTCACGTCATTTCTCAATTTATACATAATGTAGCGCAAAAATTATACGTGCAGACAATTATACAAACATATTTTTTCTATGACCAAAATATGTAAAAATAGTTAAGTTAAGACCCTGATGAAACCGATAGCTCATATGAAACTTATCGGTTCACATATAAGAATAATGATAACCAATTTTCCTGATAATGACAATAGCTAGTAATTTAACCAACAAAAATAACCAATAAAATGTACAAAATAAATATATGCCCATCAAATAAGACTGTCAACCAACTTATTGCACATTCTATACATAAACACAATAAATCTTTCTATTGCCAAATCAAAATATTTTTGAAAATGTGTATCAAAAAAAAATTAATTTATAATAAATAAATAAATAATATAAGTATACTTAAGTATAACTAGTGATTTAAATTATTAGCATTAGTTTAAACTTTATATACGAAAATATTCAGGAATCTAGATTAATTAAATGTATTAAATAATGAAATACTTATTTATGTATAAAAGAGCATTTTTTTCAGTAATATTAATTTTTAGATGATACAGTCAATATAACTATATCATATAAATACGCTCAGGATGTATTCCCAGCGTTTTTAATCTTTAATGTTAGCGTGATTTATGTAATTCACAAACTTAAATAAATTGTGTATATGCAATCACAGTAATACTATTATTTAAATTATAACATGTAGTACTAAAAAAATTATTTAAATATCAATAACTTACAACAAATGAATTATTTATGCTGATTTAACAACAATTTTGAAATATCATTATATTTTATGTCAACTATAACTACATATCATTTTTATTACACGTTATTATTACTTTTCTCGAATAAGTTTTTGTAATTTAATAACACATAATAATTTTACTAATATATATATATATGTATACAATTTTTCTAATTACCTGATTTTCTGTTAGATCTGGTAAACTGAGATTATACATCATATTCCTGAAAATAAAAAATATACATAAAAAAATGTTTACAAGATGATTCTTTTAATATTAGTAAGTGTTTATTTTCGTGTCTCTTACAACTTCTTATCAGCTCTCACTAGACTTCAACGATATGTCAATATATAACAAATCATATCTAATCGAAGAAATTATCTTTAAAATTTCGAAAAAAATTCCTCGTTTTCTTCATGGGAGAAATGCTTAAAAAAATTACTATTTCTTATTTTTTTTTTTATAAACACTTTAGGTGTTTCCATTGATTTAGTAAAAGTTATTCGAAAATCTACCCACAGTGAGGAATGAAAATGGTAATTTTTGCATAAAATGTTGCTATTTTAAAAAATTTCAACTTAAAAATTTCCGGAAATATTTCAAGCTTTAAACATTGTTTAAAAGTTAATGATAAACACTATTAGTAAAAATAAATTTTTTGGATTTTAAATATTAAAATTTCAACTTAAATTTGCTTTAACTTTTTGAAAAATGTGAGATCAATATAATATTTTTATAAGTACTATATAGAAATATATATATATATATATATCTTTTATCCGATATACTTTTTTTTAAATCAGACCAAATTCACTTTATATATGGAAGTTCAAAACTTGAAGCATACGCATAAAGGTTAACCTTCACAACTTAATTTTTGAATATGTTCCAGAAATACTACAAACTTTAAACACATGTTAAATTAAAACTAATGTCACATACTATAAGTAAAAAATAAAAACTGTCCAGACGATTCTGTCTTCTAAAAAACGGCCTCCAATACTATACAAAAAATGTTATTTTTGTGTATTTATAATTTTCTACATTTTTTTTTTCAATTTTTTATGCCTATACATTAAGTCAAACAGTATAGTCATATGGAAAGTCATTGTAAAATAACCCATTTAACCCTCTTTTAAAAATAAAAATAACAATAAATATGATTTATGAGTTCATTATGAATATTTCAGGCAGATTTTTTGTAGCTTTTAATATCTATCCAATAAGTATATTAAAAGGAGGCTTTTCTTTAAAAAAAAAAATTTTAAAAAAGATTTACAGTTATTAATTTTATTTTTCTATTTATCTCTTATACCTTATAAGGGTGTTAACTTAATTTTTTTTAATAGTAACACACATATATCATTAGATTATAAAATTAAGAAAATATCTCGTTGATAACAACTTTATAATAGTTCTTCTAAAGTTATTAACATGTTTATACCAAGGTGAAGGAGAAGTGATAAATGACTAATGATAAATATTGTCATACACGAACCTCATCACTAGACTATACAGTGTTCAGTAATTTAGGAAACGAATTTCTATTGTTCTCATTATTTGTAACAATATTTCCTTACTTACTGAGAATACTCTGTATACTAAAATAGTAATTTTTTACTATTTTTTTCTTTTAATAAGATTAAATTGGTTTTTTAATCAGATAATTTATGCTCAACTTATATTTCAAAAATATATTAAATAATTTCAAATTTAACTATTAGATTTTAACATATCATCAAGTAAAAATTAATAATAATAACAAATTCGTATAATTTTTTTGTTCGCACAAATTGAGTTTTAATATTTGCATGATTATTTGAACATAGTTTAATAATTTAAAATTTTAAAATTTAAACCTTATTAACAAAATATATTGAATTATTTTAACAGTTAAAGAGGACATTATAATCAATTAAATTTTCAAAAAATATCTTATTATAAATATATATTTTTATATATTTATAATGAAAAATTTAATCATTTTTCAAAACTTTTCATTTTAATAATAATACATTATTATCTATTTGATAATTGGAAATATATATTAAATAAATAAATAAATGAAATTTAAACTTTTAATAGAGAAACTGATATAGGCCATAAAACATCTCATAACCAATTTCACTAAAAGATCACTAAAATCTTTCTTTTTTGTCTTTTGAGAACAATATTTGGTTTAGAAACTAGTTTTCCCATGAGATCCAATTACTCCGAGCTCACCATACAAACACTAGAGGGCTAGCAGGTTATTACGATACACACCATCACATATATGAGCAATATTGGCCACAGAAGTTTGGCAATAGACATGGGGTTTTTATTTGCTCGGGGACATCCCAAGCTCATAAGATTATTATTTTCACTTACTCTAAAGTTTACCCTTCCGTCTAATCAAAATTAAAAAATTAAATATTAAATATTATACTCATACACGTCAATATACACATATAGTAGAATACATTTTTTTTTGTACATATGTTTAAAAAAATACAAATTATTAAAATTGTGAAAACATTTTATAATGTTTAACTTAAATGAATAATTTTTACTGAGAATAAAAATTAAATAATATATATATATATTATTTTATTTTATAACGATTTAATCTAATTCTAGAAAAATTGGATTAACTTTTCTATTTTTACCATTTTTTAAAAATTATAATACATATACACATCTTTTAATATAAATACTTGTTAAACATAAATTCTATACCATCAGTAGCTTTAAGAATGCCTTAAAGAAATTGTGCAAATAAATTACCTCTTACAAAATCACATATTTTTCAATCAAAGACTGACTAGATCATTTGTGCTTTAACTAGTCGTTCTATCTTCATTCTCTTCTTTTTTATTCGCACCATCATTACATTTACAACGATATAAATGTATAACATTCTGATATGATTTATTTGTTTTTACCCTAACGAGACACATCCACTATAGTTACTTTAAAAACTAATAGCTAAATATTTTCCTAGTATAAAATAATATACTTAGTTGATAATCTTAGAGAGTTTCACTAACATATTTTGAAAGTTTGACGGAAATTATAAATTGTAAAAATGTTTAGTAAGCGACAGAAACTTAAGGTGATTGTCGAAAAATTTCATAATTATAACAACCGCACAAATTTTTTTTTTCGAAGAAATTTTGAAAAACCCACTTTATTTTGAAACCTAAGCTATGATTTAAAAACATTTAAAAAATCTGGAACATTCAATGTATTTCATATTATGATCTTTTACAGTAATTCAGTCATTAAAAACATCTTTATTTAAGTCATATAAAGATTCTAACACACATAATATTATTTATTTCTGCTAAAATAATTTTAATAAATTATGTAAAAAAAATGATTCCGAGATTGTTTTTCAAAAATTTGTAACTAAATACTTTTATTAGATTAATTACATTACATTACATTATTATATTAATCACAATTAAACTTGTGAACTTCATTTTCGTTATTTTACAAAATCGGTAAAACTAATATATTTTAGTTTATAAACTTTCTGATGAGGAGAGTGAATAATTTAAAAATTCTGATAATATTACATAAAATTGTAGCTAAATAAATTTAAAAACATAGACTAATTTATTTTAATAATATACAAAAAATTTTATGATTTGTGGAGGAAGATATTTTGACAAGTATCGAAAAATTGTAATAAAAAATATCATTGAAATTGTAAATTTGTTTTCTCTTGCTTGAAAAATGCTAAAGTTGACACATTAAATTTTTAAAGTAACCATAGACATAAGTTTATATGAATACGAATAACTCAACAAAAATTTAAAACAACGCTCGAATACCATTCGAAAATATTATAGTAAAGTTAAATTTGTGAATTTTAAAAGTTATAATTTTATATTTTTCTCAACTACTATAAAATATAAAAAACTCAACATTTTCAAAATAAAATATTATTTACTAGAAAAATAATTTTGGTTATAAACTTAGTTTCCAAAACACATATTGTCTAACATAATGAAATAAATCATTCACATTAAATGACAAGTTATTTAGATATTTTTCTCACTATCTAGAGTTCATTAAGACGGTACAATTGACAGATTGATACATTTTTATAACGTTTTTCATTTAATCTTTTAATGTTAACTATCAAAATGCATTAAAACGCTTACTATGGATGTGTCATGAACTTTAAGTAAGACAATTAACAGAGGGGAGCTGTTTGCGAGTATTTTGACCACACAGTTAATGGAACTAAGAAATATTGAGCAAAAGTGTAAAATATATATATATATAAGAAACTCCAATTACAACGAAAAACGGACCCCTTTCATCCAATACACCCCCAATTACGTGTTTGGGATTTGAAATTTTTGTCTATGTATCAAATGGTATCTCAATTCTAGTGGGCTTTAGATGGTTTTACCTCGACGATGAAACCAAACAATAATGTCCAACATATAAGCCAGGATCGAAAATCGACTAAAATACAATGTACCATTTAACACAAATATAGTGATGACGATTATTTGCCCGGATTACTTGGGTACGTTATGCAATCCAAATAGCTCATAAAAGGTTTAAGAATTCAAAGAAATATATATAAAAATGGTCATCCATATTTTTGGTTTCAGGTGAGAATACTGTCATCATAAATAATTCAAATCACAAAAATGAACTTTAATAATAGCAATTCCGTTTACTAATAGAGCACTCAAACGACCAATTTCAAAACTACAGAATAAATAAAAAGTATCCATTTCCCGAACTGAATCCGATAAAATATTACATTATTATGATATGTTCAATGCAGTCACGTTTAAGATGAAGTATAAAAAATTAAAAATAACAATAATGAATGAAATAATTTGCATGAGCTTAGGGAAAAAAGTATAATTAAACACTTTTTAATATTATAATAATAAAAATCTACAGGTTGATATTTAATGTCGATTGAATTGTAAAACAATTCACATGTAAAATTTTTTTATACTTCATTATACTATAATTCCATAATAAATATATAAACAATAGTACAGTTGTGTCGTATGCTCCACAACACAAAAACTATAAAATTAAGGTTATGTTAAAAAAACCACAATAAATAGTTAGACTATTTTATTCTATAATAATTTAAAATTTTCAATATTCTTTTGCGAATTTTTTATTTGTCGGTCAATTTTTCATAGCAGAACAATCGTCGGGCAAAATTATTTTTTTAAATATAGTAGTACTCTCAAGACCCTTAATTTGTTATAGTCTAAAATAAAGTAAAATTTCCGGAACATTTTCAAAAATTGAATTAAATAATAATTATCACTGCGTAAATGGTCTTTTTCAAACTTTCCATTATTTCAGTTAAAAAAAAAGTTATAACTTTTACGGTAGCATAACTTTGAAATATTTTTCTAAATATCTAAAACCGAGGAGATTTTTTCTAAGTTTTGGCGCTATGTTCAAATATAAAAAACGGGTACTTTAGAGATATTATTTATTAAAATTGGTCCGGTGAAGCTGTGAATTTTCATGGACAGTCATAAATAAAAACACACATCGTCACAAAAACAATACCTTCTCACCTTCACATCAAAGCTAAAATAACGAATTCGGGGAGATGTTATACACAAATTTGACAAATTATTGTTTAACACAAAAAATGAATTAGCAAAATAAAATTATCTTAAATTTATATGAAAAGTGGTAGATCTAGACTAAATTAACTAAAATTGCCTATATTAATTTAAACAAATATCATTTAATGTTTTTTACCTCTATCGTCTTAAAATTCAAACTTCATCATAGTTAATGATAATATACAATATTAATCAATTATTTTATTTATATTTAAGTATATTTAAAAATGTATATAATATAATAACATTACCTTGCGCCGACCAGAATATTATTGCCATCCCTAAGCAGTGTTTTAAAATAGTCAGTATGAGTATTATTTCCAGAAAATATCTTGCTATGCTCTGACACTGCAAAAAAAAAAAAAAATTAATAAAATTCATAAATTGTTATACTTATCAATATTTGTAATAATTTAAGTATAAAAAGCATATGTATAAGCGTTTTATCAAAATATACACAGTGGAATTGATTTTAAAAACCACTCTTATGACTTTTAAACAAAATAATAATTACACTGTAATTCTTTTTACATATTTTGCATTCTTAGACAGACTACATTAAAAATATAATTTTTATAATTTATTTTTAATAATACATTTTTTTTTTAAATTTTTATATTTATTTATTAAAACTTTAAAATAGCCTTTTTTAAAAACTTTTATTGCAAACATTTTTGATGAGTCAATAACAAATTTAGTACAAGTACTTATCATGTTAGGAGCATTTAAATGGGTGTGGGTATGGAACGCCAGTGGAATATATATACATCGTTATGAGATACACTCACCAATGGTATGTACCACTCAATGTATTTAAATGCTTGTAACTCAATAAATATTTGTCTTAAAATTATTACGGACCCATCAACAAGTACTATAAGAAAAATACTAAAAATTGACACTTCATAAATTTTGAAAAAAATTAGAACTAAAAAAAAAATGTAATTATTTTTATTATTAAAAACAAACAATGAAAAATATGATATTATTTTAATCTAAGATTACATAAATTATTAAAAAAAAAAATAAGTAAAATGTTAATTGTATCAAAACTTATAGGAGTTGTCAGTTCCGCCCTGTATTTAAAAAAGAACAAATTCAATACATTTTCATTTTAAATAAAAAATTATCTGTATGTTACAAGAAAAATTAAACAGAGATTAATAAAATAACTGAATAATAATTAAACATTAATCATTTTATCAAAATATTGTAACACAATTTTATAAGCACAAATTGTAAAAAAAAATAATCATTATTATCAAAAATGACATAATTTTTTATTCAAGAGGCTGATTACTTATAGAGGAAATTCACCGGAATATTTTCTTTTGTTTAACCATATCATACAACTTTAATTTGAATCATGTTTTCAAAAAGTTTTTTCAATATAAAAAGAAAACTAAAAATACAACATTTATTGTTTTATGACAATGCAATTTTTCGGAAAATTTACTTTCATTACGGAGATTAAGGGAAATTTTCAAGTTATGACGCTGATAGTTTCAACTAGATACATTTTGTAATCATTTAAAGTATCATTGTGCAAAATGCGTTTAATATAAGCGAAGTTATAGTGTAACAAAAAAACACGGTAGAGTAAAACCAATAGCTTCTCAGCTACGCACCGAAGCTGATATTATTTAAAACATTCTATACGATGCAAAATATGAATATTTAAAGTAAACTTCATGATTTTTAGACACAAAGATTTTTGCTTCTTAAGCTGACAACGCATTTCAATTGTTTGTATTAATAACACTTACAAACAAATCTTATACTGCAATTCGTAATACCTTAACAGTAAATCTCCATCTTGTTTTTTCTTTACTTATACTCTTACTTTAGAATAATAACTGTCGAAATGCAAAAGGGAAAATAGACAGAAAAGAGAAGCTAAATTAGATTCGAAATTAGGTTTGGTCACAAAGTACATAGGGTGAAAGAAGGAGCAAACCGTGACGGCAACAAAATAGGGTCACGCACGCAACAAACGAAAAACATAGAGCATTCCACAATACTAATACTATCGAAATTATTTTACAAAAAACAACATAAAAACAAATAATTTTTATATAAACATTGTATTATTAAAACATGAATCTGAAAAATACGATTTTATTCATTTATACAACATACTCCATCGTTAAACTTCAATTATTTAAGGAATTTTGAATAAATAGGTTTTATTTACATATATAACTAGTAATAAAAACATACTTTTAATACTATAAATTAACCGCAGCAAAAATTGTTTGAATAGAACACATTATTTTTCTATTAAACTCAAATAATGATCAATTATTCACTCGAAATTTTGTCATATTTTAAGCATCTTGAAAGAATTGCTCAATATATAACTTCTAAATTAAAAAATTTTTTACACTGATAGTGTATTCCAAAATTCAGTCTAAAATAAAACTAATCAAACATTTTAGTCAAGTCATATTTATATATAGTTATCAAAGAAACTCTTATAGTAAGATTATAAAGTATTTATTAAAAATAAGAAAATTGTTATTTAGAAAAATTTTAATAATTTTAGAAATTCTAATATTAATTAGCAATAAATTTTAAAACTCAATTGAAATAAATATTAAAAAATTGATATACAATACACTTTATAGTAGGTGTATGAAAACATTTTCATTAGTCAAGACATTAAAGTAGCTTTTAATAGTGAAATTAGTAGTTTTTATTATTTGAACTATAACAGTTGAAATCTTTAATTCGCAATAATGATTTTGTCATAGTAAGAATTGATGGTACTTTACCATTATCTGGACCGACAAATATATCAATACCAGTACCGAATAAGTTATCAAGATAAAATATTTTTTTTTATTTATCAGGAAGTGTCAATTGGATAATATTTGAAGTATATATACAATATAGTAATATTTACTTTAAAATTACATATACTAAGATGCGTGTAACAAAATAAAAAAATACCCTGCTAAATTAGTTAAAACATCAAATCACTTTATGAAATATTGTAATTAAATGTTTTATTTTTTCGGCTATTATTATTAATATTTTTTTATCAATTTTACATATTTTTTATTTTTTTGTTTGCTATTTTAATATTCATGAAAATTACCGTAACTATGTTTATTTACAACATGTCAAAGAATAATAATAAAGCAGTAGACCATATATTATTTATAAAACTTCTATTTAAAGAAAGTTTAGTCATAGTCATATGGTAGACAATGATAATGAAGAAATATTCAAAAACGATGTCTAGAGTAATTTTGTTCACGCTGAATTGCACATAAAACTACCCAAGCACCATTGTGACGCGATCCCGAGGGTTAGTTTTGATTAAATTCGGCCAATGTATTCGTTTTTTCTTGAGAATACTATTTCTAAGCTACATAAAAACATAGTAAAAAACTCAAAAGAATTATATGAAGAAACAACCCGATTGTGATGCCAAAGAAGAAAAACTTGGGCAAACGTTTCACATGTAAATGACTTGGCACCGGGAAAGCTTCTACGAGCGGATAAAAAGATACCGTAGACAATACAAAAAACGTCGACCATATAGTTCCCGACCATAACATGTTTTTTTAACTTTATGTCTCTATATGAGTATTATCTGAACATACTATATATATATTCATTTTAAAATACAACTACGTTATATGAAAAACGAATTCAATAATAAGAAGGCTAGATTAACATAATAAATTATGTTAATCTGGTTTCCGACAATATACATTATATAAGATGGTATGAACTTAATTAATTTTACTATAATATAGTCATTAATATTATAGGGTCAATTTTTAATTCAATTTCGTTTTTAAATGTGAATTCTAGTGGAAGATTTTTTATCTTCAACTAAGTTTACACGCGATTTTTAATCAAAATAACTTTTAAATCCCAGAAGATGTAATAAGACCAGTTTTTCTGCGGATACACGTGCACTCAAAAAAAAAATATCTGATATCAGTTTAGAATATAATCATTGGGTAAAAATAATATCATCATGTATATTTAATATTTGGCTTGTCATTTTTCATCAATTATTTTTTTCAAACATTTAGATTTCAAGTTTAAAATCTCATATAAAATTACTTATATTGCAATTAATTTTTTAATTAAAAATCTAAAACGATAAAAGAAATGCTATATTTTTGTAATAGTTCATTTTAACAATATTTTTAATAGAAACTTATAAATGAGTGTCTTAAAAAGCTAGTAGAAATATGTTCTTGAAAAAATTATTATTCATACAAATTATATAACAATATAAATGATACTCATGGTAACATATTAGCTGTAAAAATAATATGTCAAAAAATATAAATAAAAATTGTTGAAATAAATACATTCTTTAAAATCACTACAAAACCATTTGTTTATATTATTTCAGAACTTTAATAGTTCCGTGTTGAAGACAATATAACAAATACACGTTTTCTTCGCTATTACTTTTTGTAACGCAAGGCAACTATGACATATCAAAAATGTTATTTTCGTTTACCATAATTTCACAAAACTTTAAAATAAACTATAATAAAATACGTAGTAATCATTTTTCTGAAATTCAAAACAATTAAAATGACGAGTATATTTTTTTTTATCATAAATACAGTTTAGTCATTTTCTTAAGTCAAGTGCACACACAAAACAGAAACGTTCACTCACAGAATCTTTTTTGTAAGCATAATACAATAAACTAAATAAAGTTCAATGGTAGTTGAGCTAAAAACTATAAAGCGCAACTGTCGTTAATATGTTAAATAGTCAAAAAAAAAAATTCTAGAATAAAACAGCAATTAAACCAGCAGAGATATTTATAATTAATTTATAAATAACTAAATGTTCTATACAGTAATTAGTAAAACTTTATCCAACTTGTTTTTTATATTTTTAGTTAGATCGATATTTAATGTCACATAAATTTAAAAAACTGGACTATTCTGTAGTTATCTTTTTCGATACTGAAAATTCGCCAAAACAATATAGATAAACGTATCTTTTACCAATCACTACAAACAGTTAACCTTCATTCATTATACAAGTCATAGAATACTTTTGTCAAAAATTTTTTTAAACAATTGTTTTGCATAAACATTTAATTGTGAAAGAGGGAATTGAGAAATTTATAAGTTTTAAGGGTATACTTTAGTTGAAAATATTATACAGATGATATAATCTAGTAAGACATTCATTTCCTCAGAAACTAATGAGAATTATAAATTTTTGTAAAGGAAAAAATACTAGATTCAAAAAACCCCGTACAAATGTATAATTTAAAAATAATTTTTTATCCCTTCAGGATCAAAAACCTTAAATTCTTAAATAAGAAGATCTTTTTTTTTTACTTAATTAAAATT